CTCCTGGCGCATTAGTAACACCAAAAGGAATCACCGAATACTCGTAATGTCCATAACGCATTCTGAAAGCCGTCTTCCAGATACCTTCATCCTTCACTTTAATCTGATGGTAACCCGACCTCAAGTCAATCTTGCTAAACACACGAGCATCCACCAATTGGTCCATTAAGTCATATATTCTTGGAAGCGGATAGTTGTTCTTAATCGTCACTTTATTCAACTGTCTATAATCAACACAAAGCCTCATACTCCCCTTGAAGGTAGGCGGATTCTCTCTCTGGAAAGTCGCCAAACTATGAGATCCGGCATTCTCGTCAGTATTCGGCTGATTCTCCATCGCATGAGCCATTGCTTCTAAAGCAGCAGCAAGTGCAACATCATTCCTTCCAGCCATCTTAACTTATCACTACAACATAAACAACAATTAGAACTCGAATTAACAATACTCGATTGTTAGACAACTACGACTCAACAACAAGGTCAGACCAACCTTTTGCTCTGATACCAACTTTGTAACACCCCAATTCTACCCGAAAATTACATAAATAAATCAGAGTTATAAAATTATTCATGCAAATGAATCGGGATGCCACAAATTCATCATTAAAAACTCATTGCATTCATCGTGGATATATAATACTTTAAAACTTTGGATGAACCATCAGCATAACAATTTAATCTCTTAAATCAACAATTTAACATCTACGCAGCGGAATTCTTAATAACATCTTTATCATCATTACATCAACTTCAAAACAACACATATTTAATAATAAACAACTTAAAGTTCAACAACTTCAATAATCAACAATCAAAAGCAACAAGCGTTCATCCCCCCGAGTGTTACATATCGGAGCAATGACACCGACTCGAACTATTGAAGGTATACAACCTTCACTCTCGATTACCTGCACGTTACCAATGTAAGGGCAACATTCAAACAGAAGGGATGAGATATCTAACAATATAATAAAGCATATGATAATTAATATATTAAATTAGATCACATAACATTACCACTTCTCATCTTATAATCAACAATAATCGCAACAGAAATACCAACTATATACACATTCATCACATCAATTCATAACTTCTTTATGAAATCATATAATGCGACTCAATACTATGCAAATGCATGTGGTACCATTGGAGCAGAACTCCCATCTTAAAAATCTGCCAATAAATAGAGGCATCAACAAGGCATAAGCCTTCATCTTAATATTCGCCAATACATGCCATCTTTAATGAGCATAAGCTCCATCTTGAAATGCAATGTATGCGACACAATCATGAATGAAATGACAACATCATAATTAACAACATCTCAACACAAACATCATCGTTGGCCATAAGCCTACATCTTAAAAGCTGCCAATTATTAGAGGCATCTCAACATCTTTCATCAACATCATATATCAACATCATAATTCATCAAACATCATATATACATACAACATATATTTCGCAGCAATTCAGCCACAACAACATTACAACAACAATTCGTCAATCTCGTAACATTGGCCGTAGGCCTACAACACGATTCGCCTATAACTAGTTAATCAACTAAGGCTTACTTATAAATTACCAAACCTCTGCATATTACCATCCTGTAATACTGCATCATTATCATCATTCATCCTACTATTACAAACCAAACATCAATCTATATACATCTCATCCTCATCATTTTTCATAAAAATCAATATAACGATCAACACGGAAACTAATTCAAATCCTACTTTGGATATTATGGTTATCCTTCCTATTCTTCATTTTAATCCTTAAGAATGAAGTTCATCGCTTTAGCTACTCAACGCTTCAAACGGCACCTCGAACGGAGTCTGAAAACTCAAGTTACAACATTCTCAAACTGATTATGCCAAAAACCAGACAACATGGATCGATGCGTAATACCTTGGGTCGACGCATACTGGGTTTAACACACCACATGAGTCAACGCATCCTCTCTTGTATCGACTCATCCTGAGTCTACAACACTGTATGTATCGGCACATGCTCCTACATATAGACTCATCCTGAGTTTGAAAGCCCTTATGTATCGATACATGACTCCTTCGTATCAACTCATACTGAGTCTAACAATATTCTTGTATCGACACATAACCTTTGGAGTCGACACATACTGCTCTGTCATGGATATTTTCTGCGATTTCCCTGCGTTTTCACTACGGGTTCCATACTTTAAGCCCTAAAAACAACTTCTAATCATAGAAAATCATCAATTATAATTATCCTACAATTCTACATCATATATACAACACTATGACATTGTTATTCATCTTTCAATCATCAATTTCCATCATACAACATCATATATAATTCAATCATGAACAAAACAACATTTCACCTCTAACCCCACATATCAATTATCATGAACCCTATTATAGAGTCAGAACCCCACCCTTACCTTGGATTGAAGGTTTCTCTATAACTTTCTCCAATTGATTCTCGTTCTTCCTCTTTTCGTCTTCTCCAACAACTTTCACGTTCTTCTCTTCTAACCCTTATTCTTCTTACTGCTTCTTCTTTCTTGTTATTTCTAATAATAATAAAATAACCTATTATTCTCTTAATACCTTAATTGACTTAGAACTAATACACCCCTTTTTACTACTTCTATTCCTTTAAAACAAATCCATCTCAAATAATATCATCATTCTAATATTATTCCACCACTTAATAAAATAAGTAAATCCAACTAATCACCACACATCTTCACAAATATTTCAAAAATAATTTAATTAAATAATTAATTAAATTACGGGCGTTACAATTAGTTTTTGTAACTTCTCTTTCATTTATTTATTTATTATTGAATTTGGAATTTCCACAATTAATAAAATTAATTGTCACTTTCCCATAAAATTTCTTCAAAAAAACCACCAATTTACTTTTATATAAATTCATTTCATTAGGAGTTGTCCATACAATTTTCTTTGTGTAAATTCATTCTTTATTATTTCCTTCTACGATATTTGTTATTATGTTTTTTTTGTAGGTACAAAATTTAAACTATCCTAAACTGTATTTTTTGGTAAAGAAACTGTTGAAGATGTTAAAATTAATATAGACAAATGTGTGGTATATATTTTAATGTTTTGAAATGATATTGTAATTTATTATTATAATTAGTGTTGAGATTCGTTTGCTTATTTTAATTTAATTTTAATCAATATTACCATTTTCTCTCTTTAATTTCGGGTGTGTTGTTTTTTTTTTGTAAAATAATGTTGAGTTGATTGTTCACATAGCATATGCGATGATGATATGTAGAGTAATTTTTTAAAAATTATTTTAGTACTTATGTGATTGGTTTTAAAGAGGTTTAAATAATTGTGATGCGTAATTTTTCATATCCATTTTTTTAAATTGGGACATGTTTAGAAGATGATGTATTATTGATGTCGTTATTGGAATTCATATTCACATCCTTTTATTTGATTTTATTTGACAATTTGATTTACTACATAATTTCAAAAAAATATTTATTATCAAAGAAGTCGACAAAAGATTTTATTTTACAATGAATAATAGAACTTCAACATGTCTTAAGTCCAAACAGTTCAAAAAAATAAAATAAATAAAGACCAATTACAACAAAAACATATAATTCTAATCATATTTAAAAACTAAATACTAAAAGAACTCAATTATGAATTTACACAAGACACACATTGATAACAATTATAATGCATAAAACAACACAGTGCATAAAATATCAACACTTGATTTTTCACCGTTTACATCATATACACTCTTATATTGACTAATTCCTCAATAATTAAATCCTAAGTTTGTCACATGTATATACTAATCAAATCCTTCATTTTCTTAAAATCAACATCTATTTCAAAAGAAAACATATGAGTTAATGTATTGACAACTTAATAATTTTGTATGCCATACAATTATTTATTTATTTCAAATTTTTCCAATCAACACATGTATTAGAAAGTTTAGAAATAATGTTACAATTATAATTCAATTTGTCTGTATAATAATTTAAAATAATTTCATTCAACATAATTCTATGAGAAGAGTATAATTTTAATAATTAAAATTATTTTAACTCTAAGTAAAAAAATAAAATGTGTTAACAAAAAATCCGCAAGCAAAACCTGTCCCGCCCCGCCTCGATCCGCTTTTTTAAGCGGATTAGGCGGGGCTGACCAACTTAAGGTACCGAACTAAAAATCCCAGCTCAACCCACTAAAAATGACGGGTCAAACGGACTGACTCGACGGACCCGACCCATTTGCCACGCCTAATTATGACAACATTGTGCCCCATTATTCTATAAATAATATTTTATTTCTATTCTATGATCATATTTTTATTTATTTTTTCTCTTAGATTCAATTCATTAGCACCAAAATTATCTCTCAATCAGTCAATTCTTAGATATTGATAATATTATTATTATTAATTTTATAGTGTCAATGATACATTTTATTAATTCTCTATAAATTCTCTCAATAGCTTTCAATATAAATTCTCTATATATTCTTATACTATTTTTTTTTTAGACATATTATTACACTTCTCTTTTATATTTATTTTTAATTAATAAATATGTTATATTAAAATTTGTTTAAACATATAATTAAATTAATCAGTACACATATTATTATAATTATAATAAGATTATTAATTTTCCGTGTATCAATTTAAGAGTTTACGGTTTGCCATTTGTCCCATTTCTAAATCTGATTGTGTTCTTTATCCATTCCCTCAAAACTATGTTCGGAGCAAGTGAGTGAAACTCGTGGACCCCACACCACCTTCTTCCTCTTCCTCCGGCAAACGGTTTCCGAAAAACCCAAAAACCCTAAACTCCACGATCTTCAATTCAATCTTCAATGGCCTCTTCCTCCCTTCTTAATCATCCCCCCCAATTTAGCCTCTAAATCCCTAGGGCACATCTCTCAATTTCTCGATTTTCTTCTTTTTCTCGAATTCACTCACTGAAACCCCTCATGGATGCATCTGTGGAGCCAGAATCGGAATCCACAACCGTTTTGCTTGATCAGGAAATGGAAACAGTGAATGGTTGCATTGTTTACACTCGAGTCAAAAGATCTCTCAATCCGTGTATTAGTATTTCCGAGGATGTTGATTGCAAGAAATTCAGGGAAGATGCGGAGGTGCCGATTGAATCGGATAACGGAGTCGGCGAGTGCGGTGATGAGACTACGTTCAAGCGGATTACAAGATCTGCTATGAAAGCGAAAGCTGAGAATTTCAAGCGGATTACACGATCTGCTATGAAAGTGAAAATTGAGTCCGGTGGGAAGAAGGTGTCTGTGTTAGAACAAAGAGGTGCTGCCGTTGTAAGTGGTAAAGGCGTTGGTGTGGTGCCAGTGAGAAATTTGAAGCGGTTTTCACGTTCGACTAAGAAAGAAAAGGCTGAATCCTGTGAAGATAAGGTGACTGTGGTAGAACAACAAGGTGCTGTAGTTGTTAGTGGCAAGAGCAATGGTGTGGTGCCAGTGAAAAATTCGAAGCGGTATACACGATCAGCATTGAAAGAAAAGGGTGATTCCTGTGAAGAGAATGTGACTGTGGTAGAACAACATGGTGCTGCAGTTGTAAGTGCTAAAGGCGATGGTTCGGTACCAGTGAAAAATTTGAAGCGGTTTACGCGATCAACAATGAAAGAAAAGGGGGAGTCCTGTGAAGAGACGGGGAATGTGGTAGAACAACAAGGTGCTGCAGTTGTAAGTGCTAAGCGAATTAGAAGATCGGCGGTGAAAGTGACGGCTGAATCCGGTGAGGAGACAGTGACTGAGTTAGCACAGCAGGGTGCTGCCGTTGCAAATGGTGAAAGTTCAGTGAGGATGTTCAAGCGGATTACACGATCGGCTTCCATGAAAGGAAATCCTGAGTCCGGTGAGGAAACGGGGACCAAGTTAGAACAAAAAAGGGCTGCCATTGTGGGTAATATCAATGGTGTGTTAGCTGCTCCGAGAAACAAGATGGAGTTGAAGATGTCGAAGAAGATCGTGGTTAATAAGAAGCCTACAACAGTCAAAGAGCTCTTCCATACCGGTTTACTTGATGGCATCTCCGTGGTTTACATGGGCGGCCTTAAGAAGGTTCTTAATTTTGTTTTGATATGCTTAGCGTCAAACAAGTAGTTTGCATTTAAGGAAACATATTTAAAACTAGAAGGATGGATAAATAGTTTGATAATTGATTAAGCATTTATGTATAATAAACTATTTTAACAATCAAAGAAGGAATGCGATTAAATTGTTTTCATTCTAAGTTGTTTCTGCAAGCTATCTTGACTAGCTTATCGAAACAAACTAGTAAAGATCTTAGTGCTTGGAAAACATAAGGAGAAATGTATATGTGAAACTGTGCCTCTGTATTATTAGTAGAAAACTTTTCTTAGAATAGATAGACTAATAAAAACATTTCCATATTTAGTGCATAAACCCAAATACATACATTGTAATATTTAAATGCAAAGCAAACTCTAGTAGCTTTGTATTTATTATTGAATTTTAGGAGGACGGTCCAAGTTAAAATGGAAAGTGGATTAATTTCTCCATTGCTGAGGATTGTGTGCTGATTATCCGAGGCATTAGGAGATGGCACAAGCGTTACTAATCAACCACGTTTTTGCTAATAAGAGTTATTATTATTAGTTACAACCTGAACATGGCATTAATAACTTGTATCATCGCACTCCAACATGATATATATTAGTGAATTAGATACTAGCTCTTTGAGCATCTAGTAATTTGATCATGGATTTTTTCTCTCTTCATAAGCTTCAAACTGGTGCTCTTGGCAGTCTATTTTTTTTTAAAGAAATGCTGCCTTGAAATATATGTTCACTACCCATGGTGTTTAATATTGCAATTTTGATATGTTTTTGTTACAGGCTCCAGGATTAAGGGGTGTTATAAGAAATGGGGGAATATTGTGCTCGTGCTGTCTCTGTAAAGGAAGCAGGGTTAGTTGTGATTTTGTCTCTGCTTACCCGTTTGTTTCTTGGGTCTGAGTCTATCCCATCATTCACTTTGTTTTTTTTAAAGGTTATTCCACCTTCCCAATTCGAGATCCATGCTTGCAAACAATATAAGAGATCAGTAGAGTATATATGCCTTGAAAATGGGAAGAGCCTGCTTGATCTGTTGAGAGCGTGCAGGAGAGCTCCCCTGCATGATTTGGAGGCAACAATTCAAAATTTTGTTTGCTTTCCACCTGAGGAAAAATATTTTACTTGTAAAAGGTGCAAAGGTGAGCTTTGTGTCTCCTATTCAGAGTCATCATTATTTTATTTTATTTCGTCTTACAGTTTATCGTGCTGATCCCGATCTTGTGTGTTAACATTATCGGAAGATAGTGTATAGCTTTCTTTATTTTTCCTTTTCTCTTTTTGATTTCCTCGGGTGCTTCTTGATATCATTATTTTACCCATAGGAAGTTTCCCTTCTTCATGTATGGAAGGAGTGGGACCTATATGCTGTTCTTGTGTAGAATCATGTAAACCTGAAGAAAGTTCGAAGAATGTAGTTGGCAAAAGAATCAGGTACTCGAGTAATTTCTATCCATGTTTTGCACGTGTTGGATGAATTGCATCATGATGAAAATTTGGATAAAGTTGTTTTTTATTGTTTAATCAGCACATTTTGAGCAGGCAACTGCAGAAATGTTAACGTTTTTTTTTCTCCTCATAGATTAATTAGGTTTGCTATTAAATTCTCATTTTAATGGATTTCTGTCAGCCGTTACCGAGATCTGTTAAAATTGATTTATCTTAAGCTGCTACTAATAGTTATATGATTCCAAACAATCTAGACTAGTATAATACAATTAGTGCATTCAAGTTTTTGTCAAGTTAATGCATGCCAGTGAACGCAACAATTCTTACCCGGGACCATACATTCATTGTTTGGATTAGAAACAAGTAGGATTTAAAGTTTGTAGACAATTATGATAACTTAATTTTTCCAGATGTCTTGTTAAGCCATGTACAGGAATATAATCATTTGGAGTGACATAATGTCACAGTTTAAAATGGAAATTGTTGGGAAGTCGCCATAATTGCAACTTACCCCTAACACTTCTCGGCCTTAAATACAACGACTTTGGGCTGCCTTTATTCCAACGCCCAACACCTTCACTGTCTGGGTGTAAGAGAGTGTGTTCAGCACCCATTTCCTAGAGATATGGCTTAAGTAGTGCTTACAAGTCTATCTTCATATAATCTAGTTTTGTACGGTTGGGTTAGGTCTTAAGTTCAAGTTTGAAGAAGGTATTAGAGTTTATCTTAGACCCTTTGTTAGGCCTCCCTAATTCCTTTCAGCCTTAATTACAACAACTTTGGGCTTCCTTTATTGCAGCGCCCGACACCATTGTGCTGGGTGTAAGGATGTGTGTTTAGCCCCCCATTTCCTAGGGATATGGTTTAAGTAGGGCTTATAAGGTTTGGAAAATTCTCATGTAATCTAGTTTTGTAGGGTTGAGTTAGATCTGCTCAATTTTGAAGATGGAATTAGAGTTTATCTTAGATCCTTTGCGATGCCAGTCACCCACACCACACTTAAGGCCTATAGCCCTGGCCCCTGTGTGAGGGTGTGGGCTGGAAATCCGCTTTAATTGCAGTTTGCACCAAGTTGCCTAAAACGCGTCAACTTTGAGTTGCCTTTTTTTACAGGCTCGGACAAATTCGTGGTGCTGGCATGAGGGTGTGTGTAGTCCAACATTGCTTAAATATATGCCTTAGGCAGCTAGTGGCAGATAGCGCCGGGACCCGCGCCTTTGCCGTCGCGGAATAAGGCTGCACCCGCCACAGAAGAGATCATGTATGGCCTGTAGCTGAGGCCACGTCTGTCGCGTGTTCTCTTCCGTGGTACCGAAGACGACAAAAGCCCTCATTTTCCTCTAAAATTTCAAAATTTAAAACATTATAAGGGTATTTTTGGGATTATCACACTCTGAACCTAGTGTTATTCTCTTTTATGCGCTTGTTGAAAACATTTCTCTTTCCTCTTCTGCGAGCTTCCTGCGTCCTATTTTCTGTAATTTAGCAGCGCAGCCGGTCCTACTTCCGCATGTCATCTGATTCTAGTTTTCTCCCCTTTTGTTTCCAGTTTCCTTCATTTTTCTTTCCTACCTTCCTTCTGTTCTGTTCTTTATTTCTATCTGTCCTATTCTGTTTTTTGTTTTGTTTTTCCTCCTCTCTGTTTCTCTCTCTTACTTTTCCTCCTCTTTATTTCCTTATTGTTTTTATTTATAATTTTGTTCCTCTAGTTTTCTTCAACCTCTCAGTTTTGTTATTGCTTTTTTTTTTTTTGGTATTTTTTCCACCTTCGTTTCATTACTAAAAGGCCCAACTTTTGTTGATATTTAAGTGTGTTTTGATCAAGATTTATGATCTTTTATTGCTAATTATGAATAATTACGAACTTTGGGTTGTTTGTTTAGTTGTACATTAAATATGTGTAGTATTATTTATGTAATTTGTCCTATTTTTTTCATCAAATAGCAGTCATCATCCCAGCTAGACAATTCGGTTTTATGAGGCTGAGTTTGTCATCTAAGTCCAAAGTCAAAGACAAATGCTAGTTTCACTTTGTTAACGTTTTATGAGGTTGAGTTCGTCTCTAAGTATGAAGTCTAAGAAAAATATTAGGTTCCGTTTGTTTAAAGCGACCACGTGAAAAGTTCAATGAGATGTGTTCGAGATCTCCCATTGCGTTCTAAATTATATTTTCTTTTCATTTTATATCAATATTTCAGGTCTCCTAGGCCAGTGCTGGTCTCCAAGTCATCTTGTGCTTCTGAGCTGTCAATTTCTTCAAAAAGTAAGAGACATGGGAAGAAAAGAACAGAGTTAGTATTCATATCTATTTCATCTATCCTACATATCAAACGTGTATATAGTTTTTCATAATATTTAGTTTTCACTAGCCAATGCAGGTGTGTTTCAGTTTTTAGGATTTCATGAATTGATTTTCTCTTTATAGTGGTCTACTTTGTTGTTTTCTTTTAACTTACATGCTGCAAACCGTGTTATCAAGGTCATCAAAAAGGGACAACAGCTCAAATTCTTCCAAGAGTGCTTCTGTGCCTATTCTACCCCGGAGGAAAATTACTCCGACGATGAAAAAGTTTGTACCTGCCTTTACTTTCTTGGCACCCTTTATGTTAGTTAAGATAATGTTCCTTCTGAGTAATTGTTTACAATCAAATGATTTTTCGTCTCCTTTTTATTCTAATCGAGTGTTATTACCAGGTCACTGTCCGTAAAGTTGAAGCCCACTTCAAATTGTTTATCTCCACAAAATAAGAGTCAATGGAAGATAACTAAGAAGTTAGTTCCATACTCCCACTCTCCACTTGTGGGTAACAGCTGTAGTGTTTTATCACTGTTAGACGATGTTAATCTTGTTTTGTTTATCCATTATATTCTTTTCCAGGGATTTTCGGTTGCACAAGTTAGTTTTTGAGGAAAATGGATTGCCTGATGGAACTGAAGTAGCTTATTATGCAGGCGGACAGGTTTGCTTGTGCTTGATGCAACAGTTGTTGTATGTCTATTATACTGCTGTCCTGACGGCTATTGTAATTGACAGAAATTGCTTGAAGGTTTCAAAATGGGCTTCGGAATTTTGTGTAGATGCTGCAACACTGAGGTATCTTCATTTGCACACTTAGCCTGTACATTTTTAGGCATTATTTGAGAATAAATAAATTGTGTATAATTTGCTTTAAATGTTTAATGCTATGCAGATCAGCCCCTCACAGTTTGAGGTCCATGCAGGCTGGGCTTCTCGCAAGAAACCGTGAGTCTTTTTTCTTTTATTTTATCTTGGGGTGGTGGGAGTCTGGGAGGGATATTAAGCAACTATTTGACCTGTTTGTTGCATAAGCCTATGAATTTTATTGGAAGTGCAAATTTTTTTATGCAGTTATGCATACATTTACACATCAAACGGGGTGTCTCTCCATGAATTATCAATATCTCTCTCCAAGGACCGAAAATACTCTGCAAATGACAATGATGATTTATGCATTGTTTGTTGGGATGGTGGAAATCTGTTGCTTTGTGATGGATGCCCAAGAGCATTTCATAAAGGTCAGATATACATTACAAAATATTTGATGGGGAAAATTATCTATTTGCCAGTTGCTAACCATTGTGTGAAATGTGGATTCATCTTTGTTCCCCACTCTTTATCCTCTTATTCATATGGTGTTGTTGCAAATTATATAAGCATGTTTATCACCGTATGTTGTTGATAGCTATAATGTAAGGGTTTCTATATGACTATCACCTATGACGCCAATGTACCTAGTTCTTTGAGAATAAAACACTTTAAGGGATCATGAAGAACTGGAATAAAGGTTACCCAGATTATAGTACTTTTTTGTGATCTGTCACATGCATACTATAGCCCGTTACTGCAAAAATAAAAATGGAGAAGGACAAAGTGAAATGGTTGTTTATCTATTTTATTTTTTTGCAGAACATTTTTCCTTCTAGGGTAAATTTAAATACCTCATTAACATTTGTGTTGTACTAGATTTATTCATTTTTAACACTTGATATGTGTACTAGATTTATTGTCTAAATGTTTCAAAGATGGGATAATCACATGTTCAAGTTACGGAATTAGCCTCCTGGATACGTAAAATAAAGCTGTCTACAAAATTACCTACAATGGGTTTGATTCTTCCTTGGAGTGGACCCTGCTAGGACTATTTTCTTATAGCACTAAGTTGCTTTTTTTTATCTCTTTATTTGTTATATCTCGCATATGTCTCGAATATGATTTTATCACTTCTTAAATCATGTCTTTTGATTGACTTTCAAATTTCCTTATTTATCATGATTTGTTTCTTTATTAAATTAAGTATATTTGTCTAGTAGTAGTATCAATAAAGATTATTGCTTTTTCACTTGTAATAACTTTTTGTTCATGTCATGTCAATAATTTATCATTCCTAGTATTCCTTTCCCCCCCTCATACCTAAAAAACTAACTCTATAACTTCAACATTTGCTTTATTTGGTAAATAAAAAGATAGTCATCAGTGAACTTTTATGTTCCGATTTTTGGAATGTACAGAATGTGCATCTATATCAAGTATTCCACGTGGTGACTGGTACTGTCAATTTTGCCAAAACATGTTCCAGAGGGAAAAGTTTGTCGCATACAATAACAATGCTTTTGCTGCTGGAAGAGTCGAAGGAGTTGATCCTATTGAGCAAATCACCAAGAGATGCATTCGCATAGTCAAAGACATTGATGCTGAGCTTAGTGGGTGTGTTTTATGCAGGTAACTTTGTAAAGATTAGAAACCATTTATTTTTATGGACTTGGATTTTATCTTCACTGTACTTCATATTGGAAGCTGTCACCATATGGACGTGCTTCTGTATTTAATTAATTGTAAACTAACATTGATATTTGTGATTTTTATGAAATGTACTATATTGAGAGAAATTTTTGCTCATGCAGGGGTGTTGACTTCAGCAGGTCTGGTTTTGGTCCACGCACAATAATACTGTGTGATCAGGTATGCACTCTAGTGTTGTTGTTGATGTCCTTACCAAGGCCTCTCTAATATAGAGGTTTTTTTTGTCTCTTTTATAATGGTTTAGTGATTGATGCACATATGAATTATCTACTTACGGATTTGTATTGTTTTACTGAGCCAACTTGATGTTGCCCCACTGTTTCTGCAGTGTGAAAAGGAGTATCATGTTGGCTGTTTGAGGGATCACAAGATGGCATATCTAGAGGTGTGCAGTTGTTTATATATGGATACATTAGTATAGCCACCAACTTTCCTTTTGTCTTCTGAACGTATGTTTGTAACCAATTGCAGGAATTGCCGAAAGGTAACTGGCTTTGTTGCAATGATTGCAAGAGAATACATTCTACTTTGGAGAATGTTTTAGTTAGAGGGGCTGAGAGACTCCCTCAATCTCTCTTGGCTGTTATAAAGAAAAAGCAAGGAGAAAAAGGATTGGATCCCATCAATGATATTAGTGTGAGTTGGAGGCTTCTTAGTGGAAAAAATGCTTCTCCTGAAACTAGACCATTGCTTTTGGAGGCTGTCTCTATCTTTCATGTAAGTTCTTCCCATCCTTTTGAATTCATTATAATCCTTTTTTTGTTCCCTCTTTCGTGGAATGTGGTAATTGTCCTGTTTCTTCTCCAACAAATAATGGAGCTGATTTGGAATTTACGTTCTCTGAATTTTGTCCCCCTCTTTGTTTTTCTCTCTCTCTTTTATCTGGTTATAGCATGCATTTTTTTGGTAAATAACATGTATCTAAAATATTGAAGGATTGGATATTTAAAGTTTATCTATATTTAACAAGTATGAATTAATAAAAACAAATATTCAAAAGAGAAAAATATTAACTATAAAGATGTATCATGTGTCCATGATTAATCTATGTTAGTATGTCAGCATTCCCTTTTGATTTAAATCCATTTAGTTTTTCTTTAAAGGGATTGATCACCCAGCAAGTTAAGGTCAACAAATTAACAATTAACTCGTTTTCATAGTTAAAATATGGCAAGTAATTATGAGCTCATATTTCTCCTAGATATATCGTTCATGCGAAGTTTTAAAGGACAATTCATCTTTGTCATTAGGGCTGACAATGAATCAAACCAACTCGAAAATAGTTCGAGATTTGATTCGGTAATTAATTCGTTGAACTTGGTTCATGAACCAAATGAGTCGAACTTGAGTTCAAAATTAAGTTCGTAAAATAAATGAGTCGAACTTGAGCTATGTATAGTTTGATTCGTTTGGTTCATGAACTGACTCGATATATAAGTTTCATGAAGACATCAATACTTAGTTTTCATATTTATTTATATCATTTGAAAGATGATAAAATAATTTACATTTTATTGATTAAAAAAAATCCAAATTCAACATAGTAAAAATATATGTTACAAACTTAAGTTTTAACATTTCATTATTTGCTCATATTACCTACTTTTGATGATAATATTTTGAATTACAAATATTATTTTGAGATGAAACTTATATTATATGAAAGTTAGAAATATTGTCTGTAATTCTTGTGAATACAATAAGGATAAATAAGATTGTTTTAAATAAGATTGTTTTAAATAAGATTGTTCTAACAAGTCGAGTTTGAGTTAAAAAAAAGTCCGTGATAAACTCGAACTCGGTCAATTCTTAACGAGTCGAGTTTGAGCTGAAAAAAAAGTTCGTGATGAACTCGAACTCGGCTAATTTTTAACGAGTCGAACTGAGCTGAGGCGAGTTTGACTCACTCGACTCATTTCTAGCCCTATTTGTCATGGAAAAATTGTTAGGCATTTTTAATTTGGGAGATGCCAAAAGTATGCTATATACCTTGCAAAAGGTTTGTCTATGTTAAGATAATAGAAAGCAGAGAAATTGCAAGGTTTGTCTATGTTAAGATAATAGAAAGCAGAGAAATTGTAACAGAATTGAGTTTCTATTTCTTGATATGTAAACAGTTGCAACAGAACTATATATTGGCTGAGATCTATGACAGCTCAGCAAGTTAGATCTAACAGACTTGCCAGCTCAGTAAAGCTGAACTGACTGGACAATCTATCTAATACAGAAAAACAAGAGGAACCTATAGTTATCTCTAATATTCCCCCTTAGAATCCAAGGGTGTCTTCAGAAGCTCCCTTTTGCTGTAAACACTCAGTTTCTCTCTTAGAGGAAGAAACTTAATGGCAGAAAGTGGCTTAGTGAGGACATCTGCCCATTGATCCTGAGCTGGAACATGAGCAACTGTCAAGCTTTTGTTCAACACTTTTTCCCTAACAAAGAAAATATCAAGCTCCATGTGTTTAGTCCTATTGTGAAGAATAGGATTGTGAGCCAAAGTGACTACTTAAGTTGTCACAGAATTTTAGGAACTTGAAATTTACAGTGAAGCTCAGTGAGGAGAGACTGAATCCATATCAGTTCAGCAGCCAATTGAGCCATACTCCTATACTCAGCTTCTGCACTAGACCTAGCCACAAGTTGCTGCTTTTTGGGGACCACCAGGATATGAGATTAGGACCTAAAAACACACATGCACCTGAGGTAGATCTTCTACCATCAGGGTCTGCTGCCCAGTCAGCATCACAGAACCCTAAAATAGGCAGAGTTTGCTGCTTAGAAGCAGGCTGGATGAGTAAACCATGATGCACTGTCCCACTGAGATACCAAGTATTCTCTTGGCAGCTTTCCAATGTTCCTCCAAGGGATTGGAAAGGAATTGACACACTTTATTCACAGAAAAGGAAAGTTCCGGTCTGGTTAAAGTTGCATACTGGAGTGCTCCAACTACAGATCTGAATAGGGTAGGATCAGCCACAGAATCTGAGCCACACTTGCTAAGTTTGCTGCTTGAGACCATAGGGGTGGGCATAGGATTAGCAGTGGATATGTTCACTCTAGTCAGCAAGTCAGTGATGTATATGGACTGGGATAGAAGTAAAGCTCCATTGGGAAGATGAGCTACTTCAATCCCCAAAAAATAGTCCAATGTCCCAAATCCTTGAGAGCAAAGGTAGTGTTGAGAGATTTGATAAGATTAGCAATATAAGAGGGAGAATTTCCTGTGATTATGATGTCATCCACATACACCAAAACCAAAATTGTCAAACTGCCATTGTGAAGAAAGAAAAGACTAGGATCACACTTGCTTGCCTTCAAACCAAACTGAAGTAGGGAACCTTTTAGTCTGTCAAACCAGGCCCTGGGAGCCTGCTTTAGCCCATAAAGCTTTATTAAGCTTGCATACAAGGGACTTATCATCAGCTTCAGAACCCGGGGGCTGTACCATTTAGACTTCTTCAAGAATGCCATTTAGAAAGGCATTGTTGATGTCAATCTGCTGAATGGACCACCTGTGTGAAACAGCCAGAGTTAGCACAGTTCTAACAGTAACTGGTTTGACAACCGGGGAAAACGTCTCAGTAAAGTCACTGCCAGCCCTTTGATGAGATCCTTTAACTACTAAGCGCGCCTTGTAACGGTTAATAGAGCCATCAGGATTTTCCTTGACACGAAACACCTATTTGCAGCCAATTGGCTTGGCAGAAATAGGGGCAGTCACCAGGTTCCACGTCTGATTTTTCAAGAGAGCCTGATATTCATCCTTCATGGCCTGAAGCCAGTGAGGGGAAGCCAAGGCTTGTTTAACTGTTGTAGGTTCCATGTGGGTTAAGAGAAGGGTGGGTTGAAGCCCAGGTTGGACTATGCCAGATTTGGCACGGGTTTGCATAGGGTGAACATTTAGAGGATGAGTGGGGGGAGGCATAGGAGTGGGAAGAGAGGTGAGACTGACTGGTGAGTTAGATGTTGGCTGAGAGGAAGGAGAAAAAGTGCTGGTTTCAGCTATGTCAGCCAGGTTATTTGAAGAGGATGAAAGGGAAATAGCTTCAGAAGTAGGAGATCCCGATGCAGAACTAGATTGCACAGGAGAAGTTGCAGGCTGCACAGGAGACAGTTGGGTGACAGGGGAAGAAGTAGGAGTGGGAATGCCTGATAAGACCCAGCTAAAGAGGGACCAAATGTTAGCATTTTTAGAAAAAGAGGTACTAAAACTAAAAAGAAACCATATTTTTTGGAAGAAAAGGTCACCTAAACTTAAATACATATATAGGTGGACAGGAAAAATTATACATGAACCATTTTTTTGGGGAATCTTTGCAATGTATCAAGTAGTCAGTCAGTCAATGGATTTCATAGCACCACCTGGGTGTGTGGAATGTCCTAGAATCACTACTCCCTTTGTTGTGTATGATGCAATGTTTTGAATAAATAGCCATTCAAATCACTCACGCTAAATAACAGTCCATATTGGTGATATTGAAAACTCCTGTGTCCTATGGTTTCTGTCAGACCTTTCTCTGTGGTTTGAGATTCCCAATATTCTGGCATTTTGTGCTCTTTGCAGCAACTGCATTCCTGTTTAGCCTCTGTTCTCAAGGTTTTCAGTGTCTAACATGTGTAACTTAGTGGATCAAAATGGAGCGAAAATAACTTAGCAGACTAAAGTGTCTAACCTTTGTAACTTAAGAGACTAAGGGTCTGTTTGGACAAACAGCTTATTTAGAGCTTATAGCACAAACACTTATCAATATAAGTGCGAACGTATAATTACATGAGCTATTTCTATACCAAATATAAAATAATGTTAAATTGTTTTGTATATGTATGTTATAAACTGTTTTTTAAAAGATATATTAGAAAAGTTGTAAAAGTAAGTTAAAAAAACACATAGAAAATGTCATAAGCTGTACTTACAAATTCTCCCAAACAGTATTACAAAACTTATGTAATACTTAAGGGACCAAAGTAAAATCTAAAATTAACTTAAGAGACCAAAAGTGTAACTTAGCCCACTAATAAATAAAAATATGATGTCCTATTAACAGATTAATTTCTGTGACAGTGTAAAACTATTTTACACATTCATCCCATTAAATCATGTCCATTAGATATTTGTATAGATATTTTAGAACTTAACTACTTAACTAATAAAGGTGGTATCATGAAGTGATTTAATTGATTGCATCTGTAAACAAATTTTACAGTTTTGGTGTATCCAAATTAAATCACATTACATTTGCATTGGGACTATGCTGTAATTGCCCTATTTTCTAAGATTAGTGCATAGTCCCAATACAAATGTAATGTGATATTTATAATAGTAAATGATATTCTAGTAATAATGTTTTTTTTTTACATTTATGTGTAGTACAAATTATTTATCTAGCATAATTTTCAGTGTAGTAGCCATCAAACTAGTTGATATACTGCTAAAGCACTCTGAGTTTGGATTCTTTGCACTATGCTACACATTCACAGAGTTGTTGTATGATTATTATCATGCTACTAATGTTTCAGATTGCTTTGCCTTGACGGGCTTTAATGGTCTTTTCATTTGTTGCTTAAGCCACTCTCAACATGTTCATTAGATTTTTTGTCAATATTTTCACTGTATTTATGAGCTTTATATACATGGCTTGCTTTATTGTAATATTACAATAATTGGATTTGTAACTTAATTCCCTTGCTTCAGCAATGCTTTGATCCTATAGTTGATGCAGCCAGCGGACGTGACCTTATTCGAGCAATGGTTTATGGGTTAGAAAATACATTTAAAGCATTTGTTCTGTTTTATTTTTCTCTTACATTTTTATTGTCGTTACCTTTGTCTCAATTGATGTATCCTCACAATACAGAAAGAGTGTGCGGGGTCAAGAGTTTGGAGGAATGCATTGTGCATTACTAATAGTCAAGTAAGACAGTGGTTTTCCGTCTCTTACTTCTATTATTTGATTCTTACAATTTACAATACTGTTTATAGTTTCTTTCTTTGATATTGAAGTTCATCTGTGGTATCTGCGGGCATGCTTCGAATCTTCGGCACTGATATTGCTGAACTTCCTTTAGTTGCAACAAGTAACAGTCATCATGGGAAGGTGAGACATTACTGGTTGTCTGCCTCACTTGCATTATACACTTTTTTCCCTGTTTCATTGAAACTTTGTGCTAAAATTTTAATTGATTTGCTGTTTATTATGGCCACTTGCGGCAATGACTTGGTATTTTGGTTCGGTCCAAAACAGGGCTACTTCCAGACACTCTTCTCCTGCATTGAAAGGCTACTGGCTTTTATGAAAGTAAAGAACCTTGTGCTACCAGCTGCAGAAGAAGCACTGTCCATATGGACAGATAAATTTGGGTTTAGCAAGATAAAACCAGACGAGGTATAAAATCTGTTTAACTACTTTCCAGGTGGTAGTTATTTTGACATTTTTGCCATGTTTCAGCCTAACTGTTTTTGAAGTTGGGAATTAATTATGTTTGTTTATCATGACACCCTGCCTCCAACTTGACAGCTTACCAGCTACAGAAGGAACTGCAACCAATTTGTGAACTTCAAAGGGACAAATATGCTTCATAAAATGGTGCCTACATGTCGAATCATCAATAATCAACCCCCACCAATTTTTATTGAGAATAAGTCAATCATGAAAGCGGAAACCTCCTAGCGTTCTCGCCTGCCTTTTTTCTTCTTTCTTTCAGATGGTTAGTTAGTTATGTGTGTGTATATATTTATATACCGACGTCGGCTACTTGAAGCTATTATTCGGCCCATTCCTTCTGATTATTTAAACATGTTTTCTATGGTAATTATAGTTTTAAGAAAACAGATGTTCTTGATTTTGGATTAGTGTTTCAGAGTATAAGAGGCTCGCTCTACTAGTTCATTGTTTCCCACAACAGAAATTTTATGGTCTGACATTATTACTGAAATTCCAGTGCAGTTTAATGTGTTAAGCAGCAGTTTCTTTTATGATTTAGAATTTTTTACATGACATTTTAATTTTTTAGTTCATGAAATGCATAGTAGTCATTTCCAGATAGCGGCAGCAGCTCGCAAATCCAAAAGTGGGACAGCGGGATAATGTATGACATAATGACCGCTCTATTTGATTTTTGGACAAATTCCATATAGTAATTATAAACATTTGTTTAATGTAAAATCAAACAAATAACTCTATTCAAATATCAAAACAAAGATGACTCTTTAAGTGCATAGCTTTATTATGATGTGTAAGAAAATTGCCCATACTTGATAGTGTTTGCTTAGATATCTTGTGTATGCACACTTTCCCTTAGTGTAGGATTAAACTCAAAGTTAGTGCAATAGAACCTAACACGTGATGCATTAGAAGATAAGAATCCAACTTCACGAGTAGAACGAAACATCAATAATGAAATGTTGAAAGAATGAATGACATCCAAAAAAATATTCACTTTTATCTTCACCTTTTTCTAATGTCAAGTCTCTCTAAAGTTACGTAGCGTGTCCATTTTCCAATCTAATTATTTATAACATACTTATCTTATCACCAAAATTATCATTTTAAGATCCGTAACACTTTCAAAAACTACTTTTGCAATAGAGACCCATATCTTTCTTACCTCCTACTCTAATCACACATCACCACAATACTCATACACATTTTTTTCACATGCACTTAATAAAAGCATTCCTCACTTCTCCATGCATCATCCCCTTCATTCAAAGCCTATTTCTTACCCTCAAAATACACAAACATACTAACCAAATCCTAAAACGCCAGCATGAGATTCAACAGAACTTTCTTTTGGCTATCTAACTTTGTCATCTTTCTCTTTTCTATTATCATTATTCATTATACAACGCCACTTACCAACACCTCTAACACTACTATTAATAGTTCTCAAGGTAATCTCAGTTTTCAACTTAGCCTATTAAACAAGCTTATAAAGCTAAGTGGTGTTCAAGATTTCGTGTCTTTTGTGGTATCAACTATTGCACAACATCATCATAGCGAGAAACATAAGAAAAAACGTGACAAGGTCGAATGGACTTCTAAATTATTTTTAGATTACAATGCGACTATTGTTTTCACGGTTGATTTAAAGGGTCGTGCTAACTTTAGTAGCATTCAAAAAGCAGTTGACGCTGTTCCTGAATCTAGCTATAATACCACTCTTATCATAATCAATTCCGGTACATACAGGTTGATATTTCTTTGTTTTTATCCTTTTATTTTTTCAAACAATTTCTCAATAGATAAAATCACGAAATGTGATTTCACATATTTTTTGAAAAATGTACACTTCATATATAGAGATATTAAACTGTAATAACATAATATACTCACTAACTATTTGATTCGAAATATTTGATGAATTTTTAGAGAGAAAGTAGTGGTCCAAGCCAACAAAACAAATTTAATACTACAAGGTCAAGGGTATCTTAATACAATCATAGAATGGAATGACACTTCAAATTCTACTGGTGGGACAGCCTATAGTTACTCATTTGCAGTCTTTGCTTCTAAGTTTTTTGCTTACAACATTAGCTTTAAGGTAAGCATTCTATGTATTGTATTTCTAAAAGCGAGTAAATATAATACAAATTTTAACCTTCTAGATTGTGTGAAAACAACAGAACACTTCTCCCCCACCTTCACCAGGAGAGGTTGGGGCCCAGGCGGTAGCGCTGAGAGTTACAGGTGATCAAGCCGCGTTCTATGGGTGTGGTTTTTACGGTGCGCAGGACACACTCAATGATGACATGGGAAGACATTATTTTAAGGAATGTTTCATTCAAGGATCCATTGATTTTATATTTGGAAATGCTAGATCACTTTATGAGGTAATAAAACCAATTATATAATCAGTTAATAAGTAAGTTTTTTAGGTGTTTGTGAATAAATCTCTTATTAAATTGTAATACCAGGATTGCACCATAAACTCAATAGCAAAACAAGATTTAGGTGGTGTTGACGGGTCTATCACGGCGCAAGGACGAGAATCATTAGAGGAACAAACAGGATTTTCGTTTGTGAATTGCAACATTGTTGGAAGTGGAAAAGTGTGGCTTGGAAGAGCCTGGGGAGCATTTGCCACGGTTATTTTTTCAAGAACAAACATGTCTGATGTTGTTGCTCCTGAGGGATGGAACGATTGGAATGATCCATCTAGAGACCAGTTAGTAACTAACCAAATCTTATTTGCATTTTATCTATTCTATCTATTCTCTTAGGATATTAGTTTTTTATTTAACTGTGTTGATTAATATTATTAAGACATGATGATTAACACAAGTTTAACTTTTGTGTTAACACAGGAGTGTTTTCTTTGGGGAGTACCATTGTATAGGAGTAGGGGCAAATTACACATCTAGAGTCTCATATGCAAGACAACTCAAAGATTCTGAAGCAGTCTCTTATATAAATGTTTCATACGTTGATGGGAATGATTGGCTTCTTAACTACTCCCTCCGGTCTTATTTATAAGAAAAAATTAACTTTTTAGATACATTAAATAAGTAATGTATTTGGACAATATATTGTTCAAATACATTACTTATTCAATGTATATAAAAAGTTAATTTTTTCTTATAAATGAGACCGGAGGAGTATTTAACTTGATTTTTTAATAAATGTTGTATTTTTTTTTGAAATCTTAATATCCGGTCTTGCGACTAATTCGAGAAGAGCCAATGTTAATATGATTTTTTTCATATTGTATTTCATTTCGAATCTTCTATATTTATATAATAACGTATTAAATTTAATGCATTGAATATTATAGTAATACATCATCAATTATAATTCTAAAATTTGCCACATCATCTTATAATTCTATGTGATACATTTCAAAAATTCATTTTTACTTTTTAAAATGTCAAACACAATACTTCTACAAACGGAAGGTTACGGGTTCTAACCCCACAAAGACGGAATAAAATCTCATTTTGAAAAAATAAAAGAGATGTAGAAATTCAATTAAAGTAGTTCTTACATAATTTTCAAATGTAAATCACTTTAAAGTGTTTTTAAAAAATAATATAATATGCAATAATCTTTTACGATGCATTTATATTTCATTACTATATTTTTCATATAATATTAAATAATAAATTAATAACAAACAACAAGATTGTAATGTCCGATATAATTAATTCCCCAAGCATTATTGCTAATGCAATTAGCGATAATTTTAGAGAATAATTATATTACTCTTTGTTTAGTGATATTTGGAGAGACAAGAGATAAGTGAACAAGGGCATTATGGGCATTTCACCCCTAAGTGAGCTAATTAGAGGCATGTTTGAATAATACCATTTGGTGTCTATATCAAAAAATCAGATTTTGGTTTGGAGAAAGAGAGGAAAGCGTGGAAAGAAGAGAGAAAGGAGAATGTTCCAATTCCAAGCTTCATCCTCACCAACCATTGCATGCAACACAAGATCAGCTGTCATCATCATCTTCATCGCTGTTTTGCAGCAACTTCTTTATCATCTAAGGTGAGTCTCTAGATAGAGACTTGGGGTTTAGGGGATTTATGTGGGGATGAGGGTTTTGAGTGAAGATGTTCATCAATAATCCTTGATCATGCATGAATATGACCCCATTCTTGTAATATCTTTTACATGCATCATTCCTATGATCTGTATTTTAATTATCGATGATTGCATGTGGAAAATTGCATTTGAGAACCCCAAATTTGTCCCTACGCATTTTCTGGTTTTTTCCGATCGCAGCAAAGTTCGCTTAGAGAACTATGGTTCGCTTAGCGAAGTAGCCTTTGCTACAAAGTCTATTTAGCGACAATCTGGGATTGGAGAAAATAAAACAAGAAATTATTCGCTAGGACTTCACTTAGCGAGTCGGGGCCTCACTGCAAGTTTGCTTAGTGAACATTCCTTGTCAGAACATAGTGAAGTTTCTGACTTGGTTCGTTAGAGCTCACTTAGCGAACTACCTGGACATCAAATTTTTGTAACAGTAAAATTTGCATAACTTGAGTTTGGAAACTCGAAATGAAGCCCGGTTTGAGGCGTTGTGAAGCTTATTAGATCCTCTACCTGGTTATGAATGAATTTATGCCTTTACATCTAATTTGGAGTACATAAAGGGATTATGATGTGACCACTTGTATGCATCTCCTTTATGAGTACTTAGTGTAATGCATTATGTTGGCAAATTCTAAGAGATGATTACTCTTATGCAAATTAGTATGTGTTCTTGACTAATGTGTTATGTTGTGGTGTAATCAATTGCTTAGTTGCTTCCCATTGGTTATGGTTGAATGTTCGTACGTGTTTGCATGTGTGGCTTGATGTGCTTGATTGCATGATATATGCTTGAATCTAAGTAGGCCTGCTAATAGATGGTAAATAACTTATGACAACGACTACTAATGTGTGTTCTCTAGTCGGCACCCTGCTATGTGATCTTGGTACGTCATACGCATCTGAGCTACCATTGCGATGCGCTTGTGTGGGTCCATGAGAAGTGTTTCCGTAAGCAGTTAATAACATCGCGTGCTTGGTATGGTGGGGAGAAGATACCACGTAGGAGATATCACCTTGGTTTTAACTCACCTCTAGTGGTGCCAAGTATGCTACACCACAGGCTTTCGCCTGATGAGCTCGTGTTATCAAGATGGCGTTTTTGTACCTAATGATTGCCATGTGCCGATTTGG